TTTGCCATGACTTCTTTGAAAGCCCCTTTCAAATCTATGATCTCTGCTGTCCAGAAGAACAGGAATCCCATAGCATGTGAGCTCCACTTTGAGTCTCACGCCATCCTGATTTTAATATGCATCACCTTTCCTTAGTTATTGCTGGGTCAAAATTGTGGAACTCCCTCTCTCACAGTCCCACTGGCGTACCTAAAACTACATAGACTCAGTGGTTCTATGTATATGAATTGTTGGCTGAGTTTCAAGACCTTTGCTGGGGAAATGATGGTGAAGTAGCCTACTGAGCAGAGTTTGGTGGTGCAGCAGGTTTCAGATGCCACATAATGATGTATTCAGTGACCTTGACCACCATGTGAAGTGATTAACATCACTCAACACTATTCCTAGAGCGTCAGGCCAAACTCTGGCCATTGATTTCCCATGCCTTCTCTTCTATTGCTTTTGAGAGTCTGCGCTGTGAGCGTATTGATGCTTTAGGAAACATAGCCTCTCCTCTGTCCACCTTCACAACTAGGACCTCCAGATTTACATTGATAGACGTATGCATCCTCTCTCTCTCTGCCCTGGTGTTTTATTTCCCATGTGTAGAACTGGAATAACAGCATTCAGTAGCATCTTCCAGTTCAGAATAGCTTTTCTTTAAACTGGACAAGCTGCATTTAAGAGCTGGAGGCTTACAGAAATGTTTACTTCACTCATTCTCTTATACCGTACAATGATGATCGCCTCAAACCCACCTTTTGCAGCATCCACTTATCTCCAGCTATTTAGTTATGCCACCAATGCCATTTTTCCCTCCCTTGCAGGCCAATGTGGTCCAGAATCGGAGGGAGCAGCAGAGAATGTTTAAATTAATACATTTATAGCTATTAAACATATTAAGGGGTATGAAGCAAAGGAGGGAATTTGACATTGACATAGAGGATAGGCAATGATCCTATTGAATAGTGGAGCAGATTCAAAGAGCTTAGTGGTCTATTCCTGCTCCTAGCTCCTATGTTTATAGAACTGACAGCAAGCTGGCACACTATAATCCACTGGAAATGCAAAATACTGCAGGATGCAGTATATCTGAAATAAAATCAGAAAATGCTGGAAATACTCCCAAGTTCAGACTTGTGAAAGGCAATGCAGAATTAATGGACAGAATTTTCCCACAGACTTTGAGGTTCTGACTCAAAAGATAACATCTAAACTCAGCTTCTCTCTCCACTGATGGTGCAAGGCTTACTGAATATAAACTTCTGCATTAGTCCTAAAATTAGTGAAAACCATTTATTAGCCATATTTCTTAACAGAAGTGATTGCAGTGAGATCATATAAACATAGTAGTCTTGTACCAAATTGTATAATAATCTGATCAGATCATTAAGCCGCAGATTTGGAATGTTAACTATTTTTCTCTTGCCTTAAGCACTGCTAACCTGATAAGTATTGCTAGTGTTGGAATTCTAAAGTGAGAACAGAATTTCATTTTTAGTTCTGAAGAAAGGTCACTGGATCCAAAACTTTAACTCTGCTTTCTCTTCACAGAAGCTGCCAGACCTGCTGAGATTTTCCAGCTATTTCTGTTTTAGTTTCTGATTTTCAGCATCTGCAGTTCTTTGTTTTACTTAAGTTAACTGCTCATTTGGAGAGCCAGTGAAAACATGATGGGTCAAATAGTCTGTTTCTGTGCTGTAGCAGTCTCAGATTCAGTGTGTGGGGACCACTGTTCAACTATACTTACAATCAAATCCCCAAATTATTGAATGTGTTAAATCATTTTCCTGCTTTGATGAGACCCTGTGTCTAATAATTGATTTAATGGTTCATTTTGTCAATGTGCAGCATTCTGTAGAATATGATACAGAATTATGTGGAAGAAGTAATGATAGTGACCATTAATTGTTGGATTAGCTCAGTGATGGTGCACTGTGAATAATGTTAAATGAGTGCTAACAGTGCCACATGCAGGACAGTCCCAACCCATATATTTCTAACATCAATCTATTTGTTGTTAGAATGCATAACTTTTTAAGTAAGTTTCTGACTCTAAGAATTCACTTTAAAAATAATTAACAAGCACTACACTGGGTGAGTTCATGGGAATGGGATCCATTAGCCTTGCATGTCTAACAGCATGAACTCACAAGATGTGTCCAGAAAATGTTGCATTGTTCTGATATTTGACAAACAGTACTTATTGCATTGTGAAAATGCAGCTCATTAAATTTTTATCCTCTGTTTCCATTGTGTGTTTAGACTGTGTTCTTTCATTCATGTCTGCTGTAAATTTAGGTATTGGTTTAATTACCATTCATGGAAACATAGAAACAGGAAGGTCCATTCAAGTCCTTTGAGGTGCTTTGCTAATTAATTAAATCATGGCTGTGTATGTAATGTAGCACTAAATATTTTGGATAGAATCCAAACAAATATTACACTCTGTTAAAATTTATCATTTACTGAATACACGAAGAAATCAAAGTATATGGCATCTCAGAACTGATCCCCTCCAATGGCATGTCAACCATGTGCTTTACTTCCAGAACAGGAACATTGGCAGAGCAGCTGTGAGGAATTTCCTGGCTTTGTAACTGTGACATATCTCAACAGTCTACATATTAATATTAATACATCCTATATCTGTCCACAATATGGAGCTGGAGGAACTCAGAAGGCCAGGCAGCATCAGAGGAGCAGGAAAGTTGCCGTTTTGGGTCGGGACCCTTCTTCAGAAATGGGGATGGGAAGGAGAGCTCTGAAATAAATAGAGAGAAGAGGGTTGGGGCTGGGGAAGGGAGGTAGGATGGTGATAAGCAGGTAGGCAGTGGTGGGGATAGGTCAGTGAGGTGGGAGTGGCAGATAGGTGGGAGAGGAGACGGACAGGTCAAGGAGGCAGGGATGAGAGGCAGGGTTGGAAAAGGAATGAGGCCAGGAGTGGGAAAAAAATTTTAAAACTGGTGAAATCAATGTTTAGGCCATCGGGCTTTAGGCTCCCTAGGTGGAATATGAGGTGCTCCTCCTCCAGTTTGCAGGTGGTGTCATTGTGGCACTGGAGGAGGCCCAGGATGGACATGTCACCCAGGGAGTGGGAGGGGGAAGTTAAAATGTTTCACAACCGGAAGGTGTTGTCATGTGTCGCGAACAAAGCACAGGTGCTCTACAAAATAGTCTCCGAGTCTCCGCTTGGTCTCACCCATGTAGAGAAGGCCACATCGGGAGCAGTGGATACAGGAGACCAAGTTGACGGATGTACAGGTGAACCCCTGTCTAATGTGGAAGGTTTGTTTTGGGCCTTGAATGGAGGTCGGGGGGAGGTGTAAAGGCAGGTGTAGCACTTCCTGCGGTTGCAGGGAAAGGTGCCGGGGGTGGTGGGGCTAGTGGGGGGTATGGAGCAGATGAGGGAGTTGTGGAGAGAGCGGTCCTTACAGAATGCAGATAGAGGTGGGGATGGAAATATCTGTTTGTTTGTGCGGTCGGAATGTAGGTGGTGGAAGTGGCGGAGAATGATACGTTGGATGTGGAGGTTGGTGGGATGGTATGTGAGGACAATGGGGATTCTGTCTTTATTTTTGTTTGGGGAGGGAGTGTAAGGGTAGAAATGTGGGAAATGCAACAGATGTAGTTGAGGGCATTTTCGATCACTGAACGAGGGAAGGTACTGTGCTTGAAATAAGAGGACATGTGGGATGTTCGGAAGTGGAACGCTACAAATTGGCAGCAGATGCGGGGGAGGAAGAGGACAAACAAAAACAGTGTGTGAGATTGTGTGTGTTTGTGTGTGTGTGTGTGTGTGTGTGTG